ATAATTCTAATTTGGATATTAACAATTAATGTAAATGACATTTCTAACATCTTCTTTTTCAACTAAAAAATATGAAACACATATCAACTATGTATGCTTAGACAGAAAAATTTACATTTGCAAACACATAAAACCCATAGAAACTCATCTTCTTTGTTTATGATCAAAACATATTTTCTTAAGTTGATTTAAATAACCAAGGCATGCAAAATGCCCAAACTAAGGAAGGCTTACTAATCAAGAATTTCAGTTGTAAGGATCTTGCTTTTCCCATGACATTTAGAGATATATTTAAAATTTGAAAAAAAAATAGATAGAATCTAGGTTTCTGGACTAGAAGAAATTGTTGTTGCTTAAATTCACAACTTGGACATCTAGCCAGCATAGATGCTGCTTTTCTCTCTTACCCCACTCATTTGCTATATATATATATTTCAAACATTGCTGGAAAGAGAGAGGACTACGCTGGTGGAATTTCTAAAGGCTTCTATTCATTTGACTGATAAAGCCATGCAAAGGCTCTTATTTGAACATGTGAAATGTTGCCTATTATGTTGTGAGGCAAGCTTTATGATAAAGATCACAGCCAAAAATTCTACCTATGGAAACCAACCATTACTATACAAACTTTCTTTTGCAATAACATTTTGCAACTACTTGTCTAAAATGGCTTAACCTTAGAATAAGTAAATTTACCTTCTGATTGAACTTATGTAGCGAAAATAAAAAAGGACATAGGTGAGGTGGATAGCTCAAAATAGGATTGTTAACTTTTAATTTTACTATATACATGACAGTGGGAAACTATTATTTTTAATAAAGCACAACAAGTAGAAAGAAAAGAGTAAAAAGTTGAAGAAAAAAAAAACCTTAGTGTTTTTAAGCATTATATAACTAATGAGACCAAAGTACTATAACAGCTTTGAAAGGGAAGGTAAGATTAAAATAACTATATATATATATATATATATATATATATATATATATATATATATATATATATATATATATATATATATAGAAAGAATTCAAAAAACTCCAAAAGAATTATTTCTAAAAAATTTGATGAAATAATCACATTCTTTCCTATAAAAAGCCAAAGTTACTCTTCATAATTCTCAATAGAAACCTTAATTATGGAAAAATCCATATTTTATTGGTTAAACCTTATTAAAATAAATTAAATGGATAAAAAAGTAAAAATAAAAATATTTTATTAAATTAGATTTTATATATCGATATATAAGTTTAAAAATATAAAACTGTAAATAAAATTATATATAGCATTGTGAGGGATAATTTTCATTATCATGCACATTGCCTTGTAGTTTAAACAAAAAATTTGCCACTGATAAATTGGTCACAATAGAACTTAATATGATAGCATTTATTAATTGTTCTTGCTTCAACTATACCTCTGGAAGGAAGATTAATAGGATTTGTAAGATGAATTTCACATTCTCAATTTATCTTACTGTATAAGGGTACTAGTGCATAGTCACCAAAGTTGAGAACATTTACCCAAGTGAAATACTTTATCTAGCTTGTGTGGCTTTAGAGAATCATTTAGTTCTAAAAAAAAGAAATAAATGTGATGATACTAGCTCTAGATTCATTCTAAAAGCCTTTCCTAAATTTTTAGATTTTTAAATTTACTAATTAGGAATCAAAATCATATATTGGTGTCATTGACTCTAACTCCATCATTGTTGCCTAGGGGAAAGTGAACTCTTTATATGCAAACAGGTTTTTTCCTTTAATCAAACCAAATCAAGTGTTATTATAACATGATAACTATTAAATTATAACTATTAGATCTGTAACTATAAAGCTTCTGTTTGGGCACCTAGATAGTTTACTTAGTATACACTATATAAAATTTGTATGATAAAGGCTACAAAGTACAATTTGATATGGCAAGCAAGAATGGCACTAATGCATTGAAGTTTGTATAAAAGAGATTTTGCAAATTATGCTGCCCTCGTGAAGGTCATTTTCTTATGAGACAATTGTGATGACATCATCATAGTCAAAGAAGTCAAACCAGCACAAGGTGCTGCCAAATTACCAAATTGGAAGCCATACAACAAGTGCACTCTATCCACAATGGGTATTATCTAGGCAAATAGTATGATCATCTTCTTGATTTAGATAAAAACTAGTTAGGATCCCAGCTCTACTACATAAAATTTTCAAGCATTTTAATAGTAATTTAAACATTAATATTTAAGATTTTGTAATTAATCAAAAGCTAGTTCCTTTTATAATTTTTTTTCATCTAGCTTTATAAGTTTTTACTAAGACAAGGTCTATTTCATAAGTATAGCTTTTGCCCATTTAGTCAAATAATCAATGGCGACTACTTGACTTGAAAGAAAATTCCCATATTAGAGAAATAGAAAGTTTGAAGAGATTCTAAATCTACCAAATTAAAAATGAAGTAGAACAAATTCATAATCAACATTTACTTTAAAGCTTAATGTCAAAGGAAGTTTCAAGTGTTCTAACTCAAAAGGGATAATATTTTTAATTAAGCTTGTTTCTAGTCAATATAGACAGCTTTAGCCAGGAGATTACTTTCATAAAAAAATGTTACACCATTGGTAAGTGGGCTTAGGGAAGAGCTAAGTTGACTGCTTTTTTGGTCCTTTTAAAGAGCCTATAAACTGGTAAGGATCTATAATATATTCAACATGACTAAATAAATCCATGCCACTTATAATGTTTGGACAAATAATGACTATTTTTCTTCTGAATATAAGATATATATGTATTTGAAATTCATTCACTAAATAAGATCTTAAAATCCATTTTTGAGTGACAAGAAGTGGATGAATTTGTAACAAAAAATTGGAAAATATACATTTTAGGAATTAGCAACATGGTAAACTCTATTGTTTCATTAATTTTCTTATAAAGGAATATAAGGAGTTTTAATTGGAGAGAATTGATGTTAGTGATTTAGTGTTTGACAATTTGTTTCAATTGTTTTAATTTTTGGCTGTGGAGAAGCAAGTTTTTCAAGAATAAATGTAACATTTTACAAAATTCAAGTAACATTTGAAAGATGATAGTGGTGGAATTTGCATATTTATGATTACAACTAGGGAATTTATTTTAGAACTTGGAGCATTACTTTGTAACAGACATTTTATAAAGAGGAGTGAATAAATTATGTTTTTTATTATCAACTATTGTCTATTAGCTACAAAACTTTATTGCCTATTATTTTGTGTACAAGAAATAAATTTTATTGATGCCCAACATAAGCTTTAAGGTTTTGTTCTTATAGTTATAGATCTAATAGTTATAATTTAATAATTATTTTGTTAAAGTTTATTTAGTGTTTAAAAATGTTTATATAAATATATATAAATATTCTTAAATACTAAATAAATTTTGTTGGTGCTCAACACAAGCTTTAAGGTTCTGATCTTATATGCTTAGACTTGGAGTGAAAAACTAGATTATTGTGTTAAAGAAATAGCTGATTGATTATCATAGTATAAATTTTATTAGTACGAGTGTTAGCATTGTCAATACTTAATTTCACACATTCTCCATTCAACAATTTATTCCAAATATTATAACAATCACAATTTTTTTAGTTCATTGTGTTCTATAGGGTTGATTAACTCTTCCTTATTATAAGAGTAGTTTTTGCCTTTTATATGAGCAATCCATTTATTTCTTATCTTCTAAATGTCTTGGTGTTGTTTTATTGTAATTGATCTTGCATTTTGATTTGGATCAGCCAGGTATGAGCTGAGTAAAGAGTAATTCACAAGAAGCTTACTACTAATGCATGATTAATATTTTATAGAGAGTGATAAAAGAATGTTATCAAAAATAGGTTTATATAATTCTTCCAAGCTTTCTAAGTATAAGCTTTTTTGCTTTTGATCATGATCAATGTTTATAATATAATTTCCTAGAAGCTAATGTTTATTTGCATTTAAAAGTTCTTTAAACTCCTAAAAATCTTTAGTTCCTTCATAATAATATGAAATGTTTTATGTAGAATGAGCTTTCAAGTTGATTAGACCATACAACAATCTAAGATGTTAATTTGAATTCATGATGTACAATATAGTTTATTGGCAAGCTTAGCTAATAATTTTTAATAAAACATAATTTATTAGATGACTTAAATTGAAATATAACTAACCATCTCAAAATAGTTTTTGTGAATTATAGTATGATATTATAGAATAACTAAAACTACAATAATTAATAACACTCTACCACTTAAGTTATAAACACTCAAGGAAGCTTAATTTTGAAAAAATATTTAGTTCATCTCTTTGCAATAGTTTTATACCCATATAAATAGAGTCATTTAGGAAATAAATTTTTCCACCATATACAATTACAAATAATACAATTAAAAGCTTGAGCAATATCATTTTCAGTAAAAAATCCTATTTTGAGAGCTCCACCCATGTACTGTCATAATAATTTTATACCTTTTTCTTTATAATGCATAAACATATTCATAAGGTGAATTTGCCCATTGTAAAGTTAATTGTTATATACTCATATACAAAACCTATGAAATCATATTTTCATGGCCCACCAAAGCATCTTTCTTTAACTTGACTTGAATAACCCATTTGTCAATATTCCCAAGTTCCTACCTTATTTATGTACGGCCATTAGATCCCATTATATTTAAAATGGTGAAATTTATATTCACTTTCCATGTCTCTACTTCAATTTTTACTTGTCAAATTATTTTATCAGTGTTTTGGCTACTGTGAATGAATTCTATAAATAAAACTATAATACTAATCAAGAATATTATTTAAAAATATAATGACCCTTAACAGAAGCTTTCCACATATATTTAAATTATATTTATTTATTTGTTTATAAAGAGCCATCAAAGAACTGCAGCCGCCAGATGGGGGTAACTGGGTGAAAGCTTGGCTCATAATTGGCACACATTTAATTAACAATTGCTTGAGAACCATACTCTCACAATGAAATGTGGATAGGTATTAGGTTAAATCGGTTCTTGGGGAGAAGCACGCAAGCGCCTGGCCCCCACAGCGCGGCAGACAAGATTTCACATCAATCAATGCATCTCCTCCTCCAGCCCGCAATGCCGCCCCCAACAATCGTCCGGAAAGAAGAAAGAAAGGAAGAACAAAGCTTTATCCTCGGCATAGCGCGCACCACTTTACCCTTTTTTCTATCCCGGGGGAGTTAAGCAGTACATTGGCCCCTACTTGATTGATCGATCCAATTTTCTTCTCCAGGCAAAATGGATGGAATCTAGATTGCTGGAGCGTAGCACCGAGCGGTGATTGTTGTCGCCCAAATTCCCAACTTGGGCAGCCAGCCAGGAATCCCAGCAGCTCCAATTGCGCTGCTCGACAGCTCTTATCTCACTCTTTTTGCCCATTCCTCTCAAAAGAGAAAAGTGAAAAAAGAGAGCCCGGATAAAGGAGAGCTCCCGGTTGGCTGCGCTGCTTGCAAGTGGAGAATCTCAGAAGTTTCTGCCATATCGGCAGCTTCCTTACCGGAATTTGGATTGACACACAATCCATCCATCCAGATTTCACTGGAACAATGCCAATCAATCAATCGACCTCTCTCAGGATCTCCCAATTCGAAAATTTGCCGTCGCGACCCAAGAGCAGCAATTGCGAAAGGGGACGAGAGAGGTGAATCTCTCGTTTGTTTTTCTTTCTACCCTCTTCGATTCTTTCCTCGATTCGCTCCAGGAGAAGATCGCCCGAGCACTCTGTTTTTGTACTCGATGTGTTCTTTCTTCCCCCTTTTCGTTTCGCGCAAACTGTGCCAAGCCGCGATTTTGGGCCATAAAGACGCCGTCTTAGCGATTGATGGTACGCACTGCATTGATTGATTTCCAGTCTCTCTCTTTTTTCTTTTGCGCCTCTCCCCCAAAATTTCCCCTTTTTCCCACCATAGCTGGGAAGAACAGCCAGTACGAACGAACACCAACAAGAACGAACAGAGCTTTTGTTTTCTTTCGGATTCTTTTCTCCTTTAAAAAAAAAAACTCTCTTTCTCCTCTTTTCAGGCCAATATATTTTATTTGTTTTCTTCTTTTTTTTCTTGCTTGGCTAGAGCTATAGGTGTAGACCTGACTTCTCCCTGTGTGCTCTTCCTCTCCTCTCTCGCAAGAAACTCCAGAAATTCATGAGGAACGAGACAACAGTGGCAACAGCGACGCCATCGCCATCTCCTGCTGCTCCTGCGCCTCGGCCGTTTTACTACTCCTAATCCAATTCCGATCGATCCATTCCAATTCCACTCCTCCTAAAGAACGAAGAAAAAAACTAGTTTTTGCGAGATCTTATAGAACCCAATGGAGAGTGTTGCGAGAGTAATCTAGTCCCAGGAGAGAATTCTTAGCGAGGAAGAAGAAAAGGAGTTCTTCTTCGTGCGCTAGAACTCTCTCTCTCTCTCTCTCTCTCTCTGTGGCTCGCTCGCTCGCTCGCTCGCCCAAATCCTCCATCCATGCTTTCTTTCCTCCTCTCTTTCTTGCCGGGCGAATCGAAAACGCCCTCGCTCGCGGGGGCTCTCGCGTGTGGATTTTTCGTGATTGGGAGTTTCCAAAAGAGATCGTCCAGTTCTCGCCATTGGCGCCCTAAATTTCAGTAGGAGAGAGTGCGAGAGCTCTCTGCGATCGTCTTGTGGGTCGATGTCAAATGCCCGGATCCACTCTCTTTCCTTGCATTCCCGGGCTTGTTCTTGAGATGGGAGTGTTGGGTCTTCTTCTTCTCCTCACGAGCTCCGTCCGATAGACAGACAAAGATCACCGCACCCTTTGCTCGTGTTCTTCTTTCTCTCTCTTGTTCTTGTGGGAGGACAAAGATGGTGGGCGTGGACAAGACTGGGATCGCAATGCCGCAAGCCAAGGATTTGGGCAAATTCCCAGCGGGTCTCCGAGTCTTGGCCGTGGACGATGATCCAACTTGTCTCAGGATCCTCGCGCAGATGCTCCGAAAATGCTCCTACGAAGGTAAGCTTCTTCCTTTCGTTTGATCATAGCTTTTTCTCGCTTTCATGCTTGGATTTGTGTGATTTTTTCTTCCGCTTTTCGTGTCGCGCTTACGTTTTGTATAGTTTTTTTTTCTTTTTTTTCTTTTTTTTTCCATTGGGTGGTATAGAACTGTCCATAGCTCCAGCGGAATCCTTGTAGCTGCGATCTTTTTTGACGTAGAATTGTCGAAGCGTGTTGTTCTTCACAGATTTGCTCCAATGTTTGTTTTGGACTTGCTACAGTTACCATGTGTACGAGAGCCACCGAAGCGCTGTCGTTACTCCGCGAGAACAAGGACAGATTCGACTTGATGATCAGCGATGTCTTCATGCCGGACATGGACGGCTTCAAACTCCTGGAGTACGTTGGCTTGGAGATGGACCTCCCGGTGATCAGTAAGTTCTTCCTCCAAAGCTCCTGGAACTCGCAAATGAGATGAGAGGACATACAACTTGACAATGCTCTGACCTTTGCAGTGACGTCCTCGAACGGAGAAACCGGCATTGTGATGAAGGGTGTCATCCACGGGGCCTGCGATTACCTCATCAAGCCGGTCAGGACGGAGGAGCTCCGGAACATCTGGCAGCATGTCGTCCGGAAGAAACGCAACGAAGCTCGGGACGTGGAGGCCTCTGGCAGCGTCGAAGATGGCGGCGAGAGAAATCACCACCACCATCACCAGCAGCAGCAGCATCACTCCTCCCAGCAGCAAAGGCGAGCCTCGACCATCGACGAGGGAGAGTTTAACTCCGATGGTGGCGGCGGTGGCGATCCAAACTGGAAGCTGGCCAAGCGGAGGAAAGACGATGGCGACGAGACCGCTGAGCATGACAACGATGACTCTTCCACGTTGAAGAAGCAGCGCGTCGTCTGGTCGGTGGAGCTCCACCAGCAGTTTGTCAATGCCGTGAACCAGCTCGGGATTGATAGTAAGTTCCTCGGCCTTCTCGTAGTAGTTCTTCTTCTCGGCCTTGCTCACGAAGCTTGGTTTTTTGGCAGAAGCTGTGCCGAAGAAGATTCTGGAGAGTATGAGCGTCCATGGCCTCACTCGCGAGAACGTTGCCAGCCATCTCCAGGTACTCGACTCTTCCGGTTCTTGGTCTTTAGCTCGTCGCCACTATCGACCAGCTTGCATAGTTTCAGTCACGTAGTTCCTTTTCCGAGTCTTTAGATGTCCAGCTCGTCGTCGAGAGAAGAGAGCTTCTTGGTTGCGAGAGTTGCGAGAGAGTTGGAGCTGAGCTCCAAATCCATGACGAGGTTGTAGCTCGGCTTTGCCTCGCGTTCTCACACTTGCGCTCTTGCAGAAGTACCGGCTCTACTTGAGGAGGCTGAGTGGTGTCCAGCCTCAAGGCTCTGGAGCAAACGGCCACGCCGTCACCTTTTGCTCGCCTGCGGACGCTTCCTTTGCAGCTCTCAACGCGCTCGGCGAAATGAGAACACTACCACCCTCGGCACAGTTCCAAAACTCGTCCCCCACTGCGCTCGCATCTATCCAAGGCAACCTCGGAAGAACAGGGGCAGCAGCACCAGCAGCAACTTTGGTGGATCACTCGGTGTTGATGCAGCTGTCGGGAGCGTCGCCGGTTGCGTCTCAAGGTGGATGTAGATACTTCAGTAGCCGGCCCCAAGCAGCGGCCGCCACCACCGTCGTCCCACCGCCGCTCATGAGCATTCCAAGCCGGGTGTCCCTGGATGGCTTGGAACAGGTCTCTCCAAGGAGTCCGGTGGACGAGTTTGCTCTGCACCAGTACGCCTTGGCTAACTCCTCCAATCGCAGTAACAGCAGTAGTTTGATGATCCAGCAGCAGCAAAACGGCGATCGTCCGTTTGTGACTTCTCCGTCCGCTTCTTCTTATAGCTCGGACCACCGCCACCACCATGCTCTTCCTTTCTTCGCCAAGAGCAGCGAGCAACTCGGCGGTGGATTGCTTAACTTTCAGCAGCAGCAGCAAACTTGTAGTGCCAGTAGTCGCGGCTTTGGATCGAGGATGGCCAGCTTGAGCTTGCAGGGTCAGCACGATGGATCCGTCTTTGGAGTCTTGCCAGCCAGATTCGCAGCGGAGCCAGGAACCAGCAGGCCTTACGTTGCTACCGCTGCCAGTGACCATCGTTTCACGGACCAGGCGATGGTGGTGGATCCTGTAAAGGTTGAGGGTGGTAGCGGTAGCGCTAACCAGGATGATCTCTTCAGCATATTTTTGAAGCAGGCGAGCTGAGAGCGCGATCGTCCGAATGTGTATGTAATAAACAAGGAAGAGTTTGCCAGAAAAAAATGTTGTTATATTTATAGAAGCGAGATAGTGAACTTGCTTAGCTTTACTTCGGCTGCTTCTTGCTTGTCTTTGAGGTGCTCGAGGAGTCGTCCAATCTGTGAAATGCAAATCGTTTAGTATTCCAAATGATCCATTCATCTTTTTTCCCTCTCTCTCTCTCTCTTCACCTCAAAACGAAGAAAGAATCACACTATCTAGTAGCAGTAGCAGCCTGATCAGGGGTGTTTGTGTTTGCCAAAGAACTTAACAAATCACCAACGCCAAGCGTTGGCCCGAGGCTGCACCGATCTGAGTTGTGTAGTTGTATCGCATCTCTCAGCTTTTGTAACTGCAAGAACAAAGCATACCACCTTAGAGCGAAACGAAAAGAAGCTAGACACCCTGTCTTACCTTGGCCAACGAGCAGGAAAAGGCATCAACACGACCCTCAGCCCCCCGGTAAAAATGGAAATAAGGCAACACTTTGATGTCTAGGCGCTTGCACATCGGCTTGTTCTCCTCAAAATTCACTTTGATGAACTCTATGTCTCTATGTTCCTCAGCAAGCTTACAAAGCTGTGCGAAAACAGAAAAAGATTTCTGGAAAATGTACGAGCGAAAGGTCAAGCATACCTTGGGATAGAGAGCTCTGCAAGAACCACACCATGTCGCGAAAAACTCCACGATGACAAGCTTGTCTCCAACACTCCCAAGCGCATCGATGAACTCCTGCGTGGAGTGGACGTCCCTCATGTTTGGACCGCCGTCCTTCTCCCACCACTTAACTCCATCGTCGGGTCCTCTCGCGGCATTCACCTGGAAAAGAGAAAACAAAGGATAAAAACCATACCAAGTCCACCAACACACAATCAAACAGTACCTTTAATAGCCGAGATCTCGTCCTTCGCTGCCAGCAGCACTGCAGGAGCTCCAATCTCTGGCCCTGCAACGACGACCGATCCAAGCGCAACGAGCGAGTCCAATTGCGATGCGAATTGGACCGGGCAACTAGGCAACAATGCGACGACGACGATACTGGCGCGGCGGAAGACGAGCAAGACGCCGCCACTGGACAAGGCAATAATGCCGCGACTAACCGATCTGCCATGGCCGAGGACGAATCGAGCTCCCTCCCTTACCTCCTCTTCCTCGTCGCGGCATTTGAAAACCCTAATGTGGCCCATTGACATGAAAGAACACCTCATTATAGCGAGATAAGAGACTTCCATACATAACAATGCCAGTAAACAATTTAAAGGAGACTTCCATTCTATAGTGTCGGCTATAGCATCAAATTTGGAGACTTCCACCATTCCAATCCAATGTCCAGAGCTCGCTTCTTCTCTTCTTCTTCTCTTCTTCTTCCTCTCTTCGTTCTTATTTTTCGCTTGAAAAAAAAAAAAAAAAACCAATCACACATTATAACGAGCAGATCCAATTGACTACTTCTTACCTGGGATCTTTCTCAGATTGCTAACGAATTCGATCCAAACTCGTAGGCTCCTAGAACAGAGAACACGACACAAGCGCATTAAGTATGAGCGATCTTACTTCACTGCTCTTACCACTGCCGAGTTAGTTGAAACGTTGATTCTGGAAGCCTCGGACGTGTTCTTCTGGGTCCCAAAGTCCTTCCTTTGTTGCCAACCATTTGGCGGAGAACATAAAAGTCCCGCCAGCGAGAGCTTTCGAGAAGCGCCCTGGATCTCCTCTCCGCTCCTCAATGATGATCCTGCTACTGCTGCTGCTACTGTGCTGGATTTCCGATGCTTCTCCCGTTGCTACTGTTTCGATCGATGCCAAGTTGGTGCTGCGAGACTCCGCCGCTCGAGGCGGAGGGATCGGATTCAAAGCCATCCATGTCGCAGCACCTCAATCCCGAGTGAAAGCCAATCCCAGTCCCAGCTCCGCTGCTCAAAAGTCTCTTTTTCCATACTCCGCTCACATCTTTCAGCAGCACACGAAGAACCCCGCGGCCCTCCGGAGCTCCACCACCACTCTCGGACGGAAATTCGGTGAGTACTACACAAGTATCAAGCTCGGCTCGCCGGGCCAGGAAGCCATCCTCATCGTCGACACGGGCAGCGAGCTGACTTGGCTCCAGTGTCTGCCTTGCAAGGTCTGTGCTCCTTCAGTAGACACCATCTACGACGCTGCTCGCTCAGCCTCGTACAGGCCAGTCACCTGTAACAACAGTCAGCTATGTTCGAACAGCAGCCAAGGAACTTACGCTTACTGCGCTCGAGGAAGCCAGTGCCAGTTCGCTGCCTTCTACGGAGACGGGAGCTTCAGCTACGGGAGCTTGTCGACCGACACTCTCATAATGGAGACAGTCGTCGGAGGAAAACCTGTAACTGTGCAGGACTTTGCTTTCGGCTGCGCACAGGGCGACTTGGAGCTCGTTCCGACTGGAGCGTCTGGTATCCTGGGCTTAAATGCTGGAAAGATGGCTCTTCCAATGCAGCTCGGCCAGCGGTTTGGTTGGAAGTTTTCTCACTGCTTTCCCGACAGGAGCTCGCACTTGAATTCCACCGGCGTTGTTTTCTTCGGGAACGCAGAGCTCCCTCACGAGCAAGTTCAGTACACGTCCGTTGCTCTCACAAACTCCGAGCTCCAGAGGAAGTTCTATCACGTAGCACTGAAAGGAGTGAGTATTAACAGCCACGAGCTTGTGTTCTTACCACGGGGTTCCGTTGTCATTCTCGACTCTGGCTCCAGTTTCTCAAGTTTTGTGCGTCCTTTCCATAGCCAGCTGAGAGAAGCATTCTTGAAACATCGGCCGCCGAGTCTCAAACATCTCGAGGGAGATTCTTTCGGTGACCTCGGCACCTGTTTCAAAGTTTCCAACGACGACATTGACGAGCTTCATCGGACTCTTCCGTCTCTGTCCCTGGTTTTCGAAGACGGAGTTACGATCGGAATCCCGTCCATCGGTGTTCTTCTCCCTGTTGCCCGGTTCCAGAATCATGTTAAGATGTGTTTCGCGTTCGAAGATGGGGGACCGAATCCCGTTAACGTCATTGGGAACTATCAGCAACAGAACTTGTGGGTCGAATACGATATCCAAAGGTCGCGAGTTGGATTTGCCCGTGCAAGCTGTGTTATCGATTAAAGAACTTAGTAAACAAGAAAAAGATGATAACAATAATGCAAAGCAAAGCTTACGAGCACATATCCCAATTAGGCCAGCAGATGTTGCGTTGCGTACACGGGACCACCAGTACTAACAGGAAGGAAGCAAGCACGTTTTTTTTTTTTGGTGCAATCACTCCCAACAGCTAAGTACGGGTTGAGCAGCAATTTGCCAATTTGTACAAACAAAACACAGAAACCAAAAAATGATCTCTTACAAGTCTTTGAACAGTTCTTGCTCTTCCGCTGATAGCTCGAATTCATGGTGCATCGGCTCCAGCTTCGAATAGTCCTCAAAATTGCTTGTATCATCCAAGCCCTGCAGTGTCCATGCATAGATCGTACCGAAGTCTAAATGAGAAAATAAACACATACAGCTACTTTCGGCCTTATTGGTGGAGTGTCCTTTTTAGCAAGGACATTGTCCCACTTCACGTTCGCAAACCAAGAATGATTTTTGATTTCATCCACACCATCCTTCAGACACCCAATCCTGTAAAAAGACAATGTAAGCGTCAACGGAATAATGAGTGCTTGCAGTACCGCTTGGTGAGATCTGCAGTGAGAAGCCTTCTTACGAGATCCTTCGCACTGCAGGATATCTACAATTGAGCTCAATCCTATAGCGGAAGTGATAGTAGATTAAAAGAAACCTGCCTGCGAGAAAAGTGTCCTGGAAATTGTAATTTACCCGCTAAGATCTTCTGATATGTTCCAATAGCATCTGCAACCACCATGGCGGGTTTATATGATACAATGAGTAAAACTGACGCGCCATGTATACCGTTTTGATGAATTTATGTGAGTTATTCGAGAGCTAACCATCATCGTAGAATGGAGGATACCCTGCGAGCATCTCGTAAATCAAAACGCCAAAGGCCCACCTGAAGGAAAGCTTAGTGAGCTTATGATTATTTGCGAGAGAAAAAAAACTGAAAAACAAGCGTTACCAGTCAACAGGTTTTCCGTGACCTTTGTTGAGAATGATCTCTGGAGCCAAATAGTCAGGCGTTCCTGTTGCAAAGTCCTTAAAAGAGATAGTTAAAGATAGTTACGGCAAGTTTGCAAACCACATACCGCATAGAGTATACGTTCTTCTGTCAATTTGCTTTGCAAAACCAAAGTCGGCTATCTTAATGTTTCCCTTCTCGTCAAGAAGCAAATTTTCAGGCTGAGTACATCCACATGTTAGAAATATAATCACTAGCGACATACGCACGCAAGAACCTTCAAGTCACGATAGATAATATCCATTCCATGGATATGTTCGAAGGCGAGAAGAACTTGAGAAGCATAGAATCTCTGAAAAGATATTAAAAGAAGAACTGAGATGGCCACCACCACTTCAAAATCCTAGACATCATTTTCACTTACAGATGTTGCTTCATCAAATCGACCCGTGTGGCGAAGATAAGTAAAAAACTCACCGCTGTTCATCAACAGTTGGATCGAACGCTTCTCAGCTAAAAAAGAAAAAGAAGTTACCCGCAAACGTATTCCATGACGAGGTGGACACATCTGTCGTCTTGGCAATATCCCAGCAGATTAACAATGTACGGGAAGTCAAGCCTCTGAAGAATGTTCTTCTCTGCCATCACATGAGCAACCTGTGAAAACGATCAGACGCTGAAAGTCTAAATACCAAACAAACAGAACCTGTTTACATGACTAATCACGGAAGGAGTGTTCACATGCCTGCTTTGTCTTGACAATAGACGCCTTTGACAAAGACTTAACAGCACAAACTTGCTTGTTGGCCTTGTGGTGTGCTACTTGGACGCGGCCAAAGCTGCCAGTCCCCAGGACACGCCCGAGCTCAAACTCCTCGATCTTACACTGCCCAAGCCACACCTGCAAACCAAAAAACGAAAAAAGAAAAGAAAAGAAAAGAAGAACATCCGATCGGAGGTTTAGAGATTTCCAGAGAGCCAAAAGAACCGACCTTGGGTTTTGAGGGTATAACAGGCTTCTCAGCAGCTGCTTTTCTCGTGAAAACTCTAGCGAGCATTGTTTGTCTCTGCATTGGCACACACGAAAAAACTCAATGCCCAGAAGAAAAAGAAAAATGTAGCGAAAACACGAAGAAGAAAAGCTTTCACTACCTTTTTTGGTGCTTCATCCTCACCACCACCCGCGTCAGGATTTTTCTTCGTGAAAATCCTCGCGAGCATCGCCATGGCTGGAGATGCTGCTCGTGTTCTTGAGCGTCGAGACGGTGGTTGGTACGCATGCCACGTGAGAGAAGCCTAGATTCGCCTGGTATATACCTTGCCACGCGAGCTTCGAGCCCTAAGAACTCCGCGATGTCTGGAGGAGGAGGCGCGATCCCCAATCCAGATGCGCTAATGCGCGCGATCGACAGGGCAATTGCGGCATCGGAGACCATGAGAGCCAACCGGCAATTGGCGCTAGCAGCTGGGGACCAAACCCAGCTATCGCCGTCGCGTTCGTCGCGAGAGAAGGATCTCCAGGCCGCGGAGGACGCATTGAAGATGGCCATGGCGCGGCGCGATCCTGCCAAGGCGATTCCACTCCAAGACGCCGGGGCGTCCAAGAAGGCCCTAGACAAGATCCACAAGCTCCCCAGAGAGGTTTAGGGTTTTCAAGAAGTCGCGATGGAGGAAGAGATTGGGCGCGTGTTCCAGGAGAATAATTTCGCGCTGGAGAATGCGGACACCATCCGGCAATGTAAGTGCGCTCCAGTGTAGCTACATTCTCCTCATGATCGTGTTGGATCTTTTTTCTTCCTTTAGGCGTGTCGCTTTGCTCGAGCTTTGGATTGAAGCCCTCGACTCTAGTGGAGCACTGGGAGGTGTTCTACCTCAACTCGTGAGTTTCTTCTTTCCTAGTGGTTTTCTCCCTCGCATTATGTGTGAGTAGTGTGTGTGGATCTTCTTCCTTCGTGTGCCTTGCTCATTCTATTCTTTTGTGAGTGTGTGTGTGGATTTCCTTGGATTTCTTTTCACTCTATTCTTTTGTGACTGTGTGGATTTCCTTGCTTTTGTTTGTGTGAGAGTGTTCCTTGTTTGTTTTATTCGTCTCTTCCTCCCTTTTTTTATTTCCGTGTTTATGCTCTCATAACGATTCATTCCTCAGTTTGTTGACAAATTGTTTCCCTTTGGAAAAACGAATACTAATGCTTGGATGGATTCAGGCAGCTGGAGAAAAATACACTACTAAACTCTCACATCGACAAGTTTCGAGTTTTTCTACAAACTCAGCAGCGAAACGATTTCATTCGTGAGCATGGGGGGGTGCACATCTACACTAAGGATGATTTGGATACGTAAGAGTGTTCGTGTTCTCTTTTTTTTCTATCGACGCTTACTTATCACAGCGGGACAGATTCTTCACTGGCGATGCAATGCTTGTGGATAGCAAGACGCCCAACAAAGTGGTAGGCTCTCGAGAAGCTCAATACATTACGCCGCCGCAACCACGGGTTAAAGTCACTCCCAGACAAGTTCCCAGTCCGACGACGCCTTTCAGCCAACGTACAACCAAGTGCACTGTCCAGTTTGTTTTCAACGATCACCTTCCCGACGCTAGTTCGAGTGCAGTGGATGATATCCAGCAATCCGAAGATCTGGTTCTACGCAAGCTGAAAGACGTAAGAAGGTGTCAGCTCGAGGAGCTTAGCACTGGGCTCAAGCCAGGTTGCAGATACATGGCTGATCAAGTCGAAAGCAGGGTAATGTTTTCCCTTATTTCCAGGTTCGGTCCTTTTGAAAATTTGTTCTGCAGTTCAACGAACTCGAGAGAAGGATCAAAAAGTTTGTCCAAGCATTTTCAGAATACGAATCTGTGCCGCTGTCGCAGCATGTTGCCTATGCATCTCAGGTGAGTTACCTGTATGTGATGGCTCCAAGTTTTATCGACGTATGGTTTCAGGAAAAGATTCTCGTTGTTGGAAGAGTTTGCTACGATACAGAAGAAGCAGATCCCAACGCTGTTTTGCTGGAAGGCAGGTGCGAGCTCTAATTTCGTTTAAGCTTGTTTCACTAACAAGAGCTTAAAACAGCGTTGAGTACTCTGGGGGGCATCGAGTCCGTTTGGATCTTCGTGAGATAAGCCAGTTTTCACTTTTCCCGGGCCAGGTACTCGAGTTTTCTTTTATCGTCGCAAAGTGCGATTTTGCATTCCAGATACTTGTGGTGGAAGGACACAATCCGAGCGGGCATTGCCTTGTTGCTAGCCGGATCTTTTACTCTTTACCACTTCCTCCTCATTCGGCGCCGGATGATAATCCTCTTGCAAAGAGGCAAGCAACGGATCTTACAGTGAAGACCCAGACACCACAACCGCTACACATGGTCTGCATGGAATGCTTGCAATGAGGTTGACTAATCCTTGCGTTTATAGATTGTTGCGTCAGGTCCTTTTACAACAAGTGACAATCTTTCGTTTGAGCCTTTGATGGAGTTACTAGCCTACGCTAGGAATAAAAGACCAAACGTTCTATTGCTGGTGAGAGAATTTTATATAGATGGATATTCATGTGTTCTACTCTCTCTTTTGCTAGATGGGACCATTTGTTGATGCCGAGCATCCCCACGTCAAGCAGGGAATCACTGATAGAGTTTTATCTCATGTATTTCAAGAGGAGATAACGACACGGGTTCGTACTCTTTGCTTCATATGTTGCTGTCTACCAATTCACGGTTTCTCAATGTGTAGCTAGAGGATTACTGCCAGTTTCTAGGAGCAGGGGCGAGGGTTATACTGATTCCCTCCACACGCGACGTGTTTCACGATCGAATTTTTCCTCAGGTACTCTCACCGATGAGTTTCTCAATCTCTTAACTTGTTTTTTTTTCCTGTTGGCAGCCTCCTTTTAATAGTTTCATGTTTGAAGATTCATCCCAGCAGGTACCTAAAAAATCTGTTTTCTCGGACTAAGTTTTGGTCGCATTTCCAGATATCTCTACTGCCGAATCCAAGTGTGTTTCGCCTGGATGAGGTATCCATTGGCTGCTGCACAACAGATATCCTTAGACATCTAAGCAGTGAAGAAGCGGCTCGAAATCCACCGGGCACCTCCAGCGATAGAATGTCGAGGCTGGGAGCACAGCTTGTTGGCCAAAGAAGGTATCAAAGCTTGCTCCAAAAATCTACCTTAACACAGACTCTTGTATTGCTTTTTGTCCAGCTTTTATCCATTGTTTCCGCCAGCGTTAGGCACTTGTTTGGACCTAGCTGTCAATCCCAGTGCTTTGGACCTCCCTTGCACGCCAGATATCATCGTTCTATCGTCGGACTTGGTCCCTTTCGTCAAGGTAGAAGTTCCAAGTATCTCACTGACGCGATTTTCATGATTTTTCTTCTGCAGTCTTTAAGCTACACGCCTGGTGTGAAGCTAGACGAGTCCCAGCCACGCACAGAGAACCTCACTACGCTGCTTGTAAATCCCGGTCGACTGGCAAAAGGGGCAATGGGAGGGACGTTTGTGGAAGCTATGGTGACACTGCCAAGCACTCCTCAACTAAGCAGCATTGGAGCTAGAGCAAAACTTTCCTTCATTAAGATTTGACAAGCACAGCGTGGTAAGACTTTGTTTCAAACGATTCGTATGTTCTTAAATGTTTATGCTGAAGGTTATGGAGGTTGAAAGATATCAGAAGTTTCCTTCTTCCTCATTGGAGATCCAAGCCATTATCTCGGACACACCTTATATCTTCGCAGCTGTGACGAGGTCCTTAATCTTGCGAATGCAGTGAACTGCAAAAGCCTTTGATTGAGCAGCGACTCGAGCTCCTGTACGCGAGCATGCTCGGGAGTTTACTATCATGCTTCTTCTGGAGGAATTAAAAACAAATTGAAGCAAGCGTTCTCTGGAAGCAAGCGTTTAGCAGTAACTCACACCACTGTGCAAGCTTGGAAGAAACAAAAAGCTATGCTTGTAGTTTAGCTTACCGCTTCTCTCGTCTTACCAGAGAGCAGCTTTGCTATTTACCACATTGCAGCGTTGGAGTTTTCGCTACAGCTCGTCTGTAGAGCTCGTTTTGGTTTTGGTGTGCTGTGTCGTTGGCATTGCAAAAGGAATGGCTGCGTGTTTCTTCACAAACTGGACCAGGCCTTTTAAGTTTGTCTTTGCGTGAGCGGTGATCTGTGGCAGGGAGTTACACCGAGTTTGTAAAAGGGAATTGGACTTACAGGTTGGTTTTTGTGGCCTGCGGGGTAGAACAAAAATGCTGGATGCAAGGACAGGTCGCATACTCCAAGCACTTCTAGATGTTTGCAGAAAATAATAGGTGGAAGAGCCTTAGTGAATATATCAGCAACCTAGTCCTCAGTTGCCATGTACTTTTAAGTGTCAACTCTCCTCCCATCACTTGTTCTCTGATGTATGATGTAGTGGTATTTTATTTGTATATGCTTCATCTTGGTGTGATATCTTAAATTCTCATAAAGAGCAATCACCAATTGATTATCCTAACTGCATACTCCCTACAAGCTCACGAAGCCAGCTCACCTCTTGTGCTGCCCCTGTCAAAGCTCGTTGTGAGAGTGTCACAAGTCCTGGCTGTGGTCGCTGAACTTGAATCCCAAGGAAAGTGTGCACGGGGCCAAGATCTTGCATCTCAAACTGGGCTCCTAGCTTTCTCTTGATTTCAGCAAGAAGATCTCTGTTGTTGGAAACAAAGATACCATCGTCCATATACAAGGCCAAAATGACCAAGGCACCATCCTCAATCTTCATATAAACGTTTGAGTTGGCATGGTTTTTCTGGAATCCAAGAGAAATCAGAAAAGAATCAATTTTCTTATACCAGATGCGTGGACTTTGTTTCAGGCCGTATAAAGCCTTCTTCAGCCGATAAATCCTTTGGCTCGGATCGAGGCCTGTCAGGAGCTGGATGTAAACCTTCTCAGGAATTTCTCCATGTAAAAATGCAGTCTTCACATCCATTTGCCCCACATAAAGATCATAAAGCAAGTAACAGCCTGATAAAAGCCATCTTCACGACCGGGCTGAAAGTTTCTGTAAAGTCTATGCCTTCGATCTGAGTAAAGCCTAGCTTTAAAGCGCTGCACTTCTCCTGAAGGTCCAGCTTTCACGCAGAAAAGTAGCTTTGTCGAAACTACATTAGCATTGTCAGGAACTTCATCAGGAAGATACCAGGTTTCATTTGTTGCATGAGCTCACATCTCAGCATCAATAGCATCACCCCATGCAGGAATCTTCACCTCTGCTGCTGTGAATATAGCCATT